CACAGATGCGGCCGGTAAAGTGACAAGAAAACGTAGTCTGCTCTGCCTCTGTCACGGAAACTAAAATTTCCTGACAGAAAGTAGGCATGAATATATTGAGTAAGGTTTCAAAACTATTCTGGGTGATAGTTATCTGTACAACTCGAGAAGAAAGTATGGAGTGGAGCGTAGCGAGTGTGTCAATTGAACGAGAGTTGAAAAACACTTTCTCCTCAAGTTTTACACATCATTTTTTTCTGAAATTACAATCAAAATTGAAAAATTTTCGTATGCAATAATGAAGTTTGACACAGCAATCTAGATACGGGTAAGTTTCAATTTTAAATGTCATTATTTAGATTAACGCAGCAATTGTTTTTTACTTTCCTCACTAGAGAGAAAAAATCACTTTTTCTTCACCCTTTTTAGAGACGAAAGTAGTTGTTTCTAAAGTAGTTTCAGAAAAAATTATTTGCGGTTTATGAAAAATACTTGCGCGGCTCCACTGCGATTGGTATCTATAGATGGGTGTTCTATGTAGTATTTTAAAAGGGTTTTTCGGGTACCCCTGCTGAAAAATACCACTCCCAGATCGAGGGTATGCCAACTATAAGGGTGTTCCTGTACAAATTACCATCGTAATTAGAAACTATACCTGTTCGTTCTTATCAGTTAAGATGCTAGATGGATGCTTCGGGCTTAGCTAAGAAATAGAACAAGAGGATTTAACCAAGACACCTTGATTTTCTACTGCTTAGACTAAAAACTCGTGAAAACAGAATCTTTATAATTAATTTTTTCGCGTACAAGAAGAGGTAGAATAATCGTTTTACATGATTTAGATGCAGAATTTATATCTATACTAGCTGACCCGACGGACGTTGTCCTCTTTCCTAGCTATGCTGAGTATGCATACCTAATCAATTTGAACTGGAATAAATAATAGCAATTATTTCAAGAAATTCGCTGTGCCTAGCGCGGGTACCACCCGCCCCACCTGCGCATGCGCGATTCTGCCCTTTTATGTCTAAGAATATGTGTACCAAATTAAATCGGTTCAACCGTTTAGCCGGAAAAGAGATTTTGACGCATTTGACCCAAAATCTCCCCATCTCTCCCCAAACTAATAAAAAATAAACGCACTCACTTCTACGTTGCTTTTGGCGATTCAGAGCTAGCAACGTACCTACCTTTTTTTTGCTGCGCCAAATGCCGTAATTTGAAAGCAATTGTTGTATTTCTGGATGATTAAAAAAATGTATAGAATCTGGCCCACTTCCGGAAACCACTGGCGCAACATAATTCCGGGGCTTCAGTTTTAAACTTAAAAGCCTTGCAATGTGGACACACAAAGTTTACATGTTTTATTAAGCTTTTGGTATACCCGCAAATTTAAAAATAAATTTCAACATTTCTGTTATTAGTATAGCAATTCATAAAACAACAAAAGTCATGGCTATTGCTACTAATAACAGAAATGTTGCAATTTATTTTTAAATTTGCGGGTATACCAAAAGCTTAATAAAACATATAAAAACAGTTTTGTATGCACCCTTTAATTCTGAACAACTTTAAACTCACTCAAACAGTGTTTTCTGTAAAATGTACAGGAGGGCAGGATATTGCATAAAACTAATTTCCCATGTTAAATCACTGTTCCTACTTACCGTGCACCACCCGGTATGTTTGACTTGTAGGATTTCAAATTCTGCGAGTTGGTACCATGTTGGTACGTCTAATTAGTAGCATCTTGAAAAATTTATTTATCAAAGTCCTCGTTTGAGATCGAAGGGACTTCAGCGTATTTTTGTGTGGCAGATCAGTATTCTATTAGCCACTTTCGACTCAACCATCAATAACAGATCTTGTCGAAGGCTACTACATTCACTAACCGCTTCCCACTTTCCGCGTGCACCCGCAATTCTCTTTTAAAGATTTGACTCCACCATCAGTGAGATCGTATCGGGGGCTACCACGTTCCCTTTGACCGTACCCACTTCCGACGTTCCGTTCACCCGCAATTCGCGTTTGAAGATTTGACTCCACCATCAGTGAGATCGTGTCGCGGGCTACCACATTCCCTTTTACGGTACCCACTTCCGACGTCCCGTTCACTAAACGTTAAACCGCGTGAGTTCGCAACGGAAGGTAAAAGGCGCCCGAAGTAGACTACTTCTCGAAGACGCGCGCGCGCGTCTCGCAAAAGGTCGTTAATTTCGCCCCTATGACAAAAAACAAAATTCCGCAGGAGTTGTGCGCGTTTACAACATCTTTCCGACGACACCAATTTCAAAAGAATCGGACCAAAACTGTAGTAGAAGATAGGAAAAAACTGAAAAACCTTCCCGTTAGTATACTACGCTCGAGGATGATGCCCAGATGTCGCCAACCCCACATTATGTAGCCATGTCCCTAAGGTTGACAAATTTCACGGCCCTGTAGATACACGTACACCCGTTGCCTTTCTACAAGAGTTCTTCTACGCGCCCACATTTGCTGCCAGCCAGCCAGCCAGCCAGCCAACCAGCCAAAGTGAGATTAAAAGCTACTTTTTACAAATAAATTTGCAAAAATGCGCTAAAAACTAAAGTTCAACTGAAAATACAAATTAACTCCCTAGTGTTTCTGTATAACTATGTATACCACGTGTTTAGCCTATCAACACTTACCAAAAAAACTTTTAATATAAAAGGCTTGATTGCGGTGAAATAACATCGACATTTCTAAAAAAAACTCACTGAAATCTGGATAAACTTTCCGATCGAATTGACAGCAAACAAATTAATTTTTTGACGGATATATGCCGATCGATGTAGCTGTTAAAACAATTGCTGCCGCACCGTCAAACGCGCGATGTTTAAATAGTCGTTAAGTTTTCTCCAATTTTCCAATTTTCTGCGCGATTTTGTTAGTTTTTCTTGCCGTAAGCACCTTCTACACAGTATTAGAAAACTTTAAAAAAAAGATGAATGAAATCGGTAAAGTCGTAAAGTTATTGCGTGACCAGAAGAAACAGGGGTTCATTTTTATACATATTTATTTGAAGTATTTTTGCGTAAAATAATTAGGAAACGATTGCGCAAAGAAAAAGTAATTTCCCATGATAAACGCCACTTTTCGATTTACACCCTGTACATGTCAAGGATGACAATCAACCACCGCTGCAATGGAGAATGGATAAAATCTTAGAAGATTTCCCGACAAGTTGAACTAAAATACAACGATCATGTAATTACTCGAGCAGTACACCGCCTTTGTAAACTTCCACTGGAACATGATTATCACTTACAGTCTACTCAAAGTAATCAATAATTTCATAGTTCCGACAGAAATTAGAATTAGAAAGCGTTGTCTGTCCCCAATAGTTCATTGGTTAATTTTCTCCAGCAACAATTTAGCATAACTCAGAAACTAGGTAACTGCTCGTCAAATTAGCTGCGAAAAGAAATAACTCAATTATGCAAAATGCTAAAATTTTCACACCGAAAATAATACATGCGAACTCTTTTAAAGGCTAACCTCGTTTGCTGAAAACCCCCGTACATTCCGGTACCTCTCTTCGCTTATCGATCGCCTTTTATTTCCAAACGCAATTTTCTTTCTATCCGCTATAAAGCGGTACATGTGTAAATCTTCCTATGCTTATCAAAATATAAACTCGAACAATTACTTTTTTTAAAAACGGCTAAAGATACGTAAAATTCATTCACAAATTGAGAAAACGTCTGTTTACTGACCGTTTTGAGTTCAATGTGTAGAAATATGAAATATTGAGAGTTTGCTTTATGGTGGAAAATCGGGTAAAATGCGTAAATTTTCAAAAAATCTGTAAAGTCCCAGAAATATCAGTAAATTTCCAGAATTGTAAATTGCCAGAAAGATGAGATATGCGAATCCACAGCAAAATCCGTAAATTAACAGATCATGCTGATTTCTACATAAACGTGTAAATGTACTGTTAGATTTATAAATCAATAACAAAAACTAACTTCTGTATAGAAAGTGAATTGTGACGTTAATGGTCTACACAAAATAGAACTGGCAATGTGCATACTGAAAATTAGATAAGCGACAAAAGAAGACTCTCCTATTCAATATCTTAGTGGATGAAATGATCATCCATCCCTTACTATGCCGATGAACCCAGCACCATAATTTGTTTTAAAGATATAGATTGAATTTTTGGGCGGAATTATCAACACAAGCTCTGAAATCACAAAATTACATTTGCGAAATAATTATTTCACACTTCAACAAATTAGCATTCTACTCTTAAATTGCGTACCTATGCATTTCTTAGAATTCATGTTAAAACTTTTCCTTTTTGTTTGGAACACATTTTTACATATTAAAGTAAAATTACCCAACATCTGTGGTAAAAATTTAAAATATGTTTGAGAATAAAAACGAAAATAAATAGGTAGCTCGTGTGCAATCAGCGCAACTGTTACAGAATTCTTAATATGTGCATATGGCGGTAATTATCTACTAAATGGTTTTTAAAACAACATTGCTAAATTAACCGTGTAAAGTTGGCATTTTGAGAATCGGGAATTGATTTAATTTGTGGTAACATTAGATTTTTAGTTCTTCGCAATTTCTGAAAATAGGTAGTTTTTCGCGAAGGGGTGAATTTGTATATTTTACAATAAACTTAACTAATCATGTTGGCACACATTTAGTGTAATATTGATTTCAATTTATTTATTGTGGACAGTTACGTATTTTAGTAACAGTATCGTTGTGGAACTACTTATCCCAATATTGGCCCTTGCTGTTGGAAAATAAACCATTAGTATATTCAAATGCGGTGTAATGAAATACAATTTACGAATATAATTACTATCAGCCCACTGCTCTGTATTGGTCAAAACGGCACGCGCCTTTAGGGTGGTTGCAGTGGTGTTGCACAATCGGTCGGGTAGGGGGTGGATCAGGATGCGTTTATAAGGAACAACAGGTAGTCCACTATTCAAACTTGTTTCGAAATTCGTGTCGGAAAGGTCAGTTTTCGCAATTCGATGGAGTCTCCGGAATCGTTCGGTTACGTGTATATGTTATCAGCTCCTCAAGATGTTGGTGGTGTTGCCGGATGGGGTAGCGGTGGATGTACACCGCCGGGCGGTTACGACAGCTTATCGGAGGGTTATCAAAGTTCGAGTCCGGATCCGGCGTCGCGATGCAAAAGTCGTGTCACACCCTTAGTACTACGAAAACGGCGCTTAGCGGCGAACGCACGTGAACGTCGTCGGATGCAGAATCTCAATCAAGCATTCGATAGGTTAAGGACGTTTCTTCCACAATTGGGACAAGACCGGCAGTTGTCGAAATACGAAACTCTGCAAATGGCCCAAACGTATATCGCCGCCCTTTATGATTTATTAGAACAACGACCGAGTGTGTAACACTTCTCAGGTACTTACTTTAGTTTAAAGGAATTTTGCCAAAGGCTCGTTATTGTTATAGTTAATTATAGTGTGAGTATGAGTGATTGAACGTTCGCTAATTTTTAGAGAAAAAAACGAAACAGCAACTTGTGCCAAAAATTGTTATTAATTTATAGTAATTCAGTGCCAGTCCTACAACCACCACTAATTAGTAGGTTAGATGTATTTATTTTTGTAAATAATTAGTATGTATAAAAACTGTACTGCAAATCAAAGACCCTTTGTAAATATAAGACGTTATTTTATAAGTTTAATAAATACTTTTTATACAACACGTACTAGTTTATTATTGCTTAAGGTAAGGTAAAAAAAACCACCCTCGCCCCTGTTGCGAATAGTAACAAAACAATTAATAGAAAAGGTTCTGCTTCCGGTTAGGTGAGATCGGAAGTTCACGCTACCTACAGATTTCAGGTTACTAAAAATGAGAAAACGAAATTTCATCCGTGAGTGCATAAACCGTAAGCGAAGTAAATTCTGTGTTATTAAATTACTAAATTCAAGGACTCCCAGACTGAGGAATATTTAAAAAGCCATCTGTTTTTTTTCTCTTTATTTAATAAGTACACAAAAAAATTTTCGTTTAAGCGCCCATAAATGCTCGAATTATAAAAAGTAACTTTAAAAGCCATTTAATACTTTTTGCGGGTAAGAGATTCTCTTCCGTGTTTTACGTTTTTATATTCGCAATTGTTCTTACGAATTGCTCGCGTTTTAAGTGAACCCCCCATTGCGATTATGTGAAAATTAAAGCGCGTACGTTTTCAGGAATAATTGAGAAATAATTGTGTTATTTTTGCATGCACGACTTGAGCCGTCTATAACCGCATCGATTATACAATAAAATTTTAGATAACTCTGACGCATTGTGGCAAAATTAATAAAATAGCGCACAAGTCTTGAGGCATCAGAAATGTTTCGAAATAAGTAATCTATAAAAGTGAGACATGCTCAATATTGCATGTCAGTAGTTTGTGATAGTTATTAAATTAACAATTGCGATGAAACGGTTCACGGTTTGTAACCATTTTTTACAGCAATTGTGTCGTTAACAAAGGTTTCAGGTGTACCTGTTCTACGTGTTTATTGAAGGGTCCCTCTCGCAATATCGTGTACAAGAAAACAAAATATACGCTCCTGAATATAACAATTATGTAAGTATCTCTATATATAAAAGGTTTTAAGGAAGATGGTCGGAACAGCCGTTAGGTAAGCCATTTTCGTTATTGCCAGGTTTGGTCACTTTTCGGAAAGGGAGTTAATAATCTTAGTTACTAATTTTTAATTTTCAAGTTAATTATATAATTACAACATATTGGGATATTCAGTAAACAATACCGAGATGATATTACCAGAACTGCAGTTACGTACATTCTCCTTATACAAATAAAGCGCAGCGTAATGTTTCTTTGACAGCTAACTAATTACATATCTCAATTGCCTTATGGACTTACCACTCTTAAATTTTAATGATCTCGTCAAAAGTTATATTCGATTTTCGTCTAAATTTTTAAAGGCTTCGTCTATATTTTCATCATTTATCATCTAGTTTTCATCTATTTCTATAAAATAAAAATAAAATTTAGTTCCTTTTTGCATCCATTCGTTCAAAATCCTGTTCAAAATATATGAATTGGTATTCGCAGTACAATTGCTGTTACAAATAGTTCGCAGTAATTGAAGCCTTTTTAGCAATAGCGAGCTCTTTTTGACAATCCGAAGGTTTTTTAAATCTTTTTAGTAATCTCGAGAATTATCCATGCTTCACACTTACACGAATAAGTTCAACGTTCATTGCAGTTAGTTGCGTATTTCACGTTCTTCAAAATTTTTGAGACATATTGGTGACAAGTGTTTTTAGGGTAATTGGACCCTGCTGAATCCCATTTTTCCTGTCAACATCTCGAAATCCGGCTGCTAAAGCCCCAAATGAAGATGGCGCCCAAAATGGCGACTAAAGCTCACTATAAGATCGTTTTCTTGTCGTAAACAAAAATATTATCATGATTTTTATCTAGTACACACTTTATTACTATTTTATAAAAATATGTGTAGCCAAAAAAATTGGTGATGTCAAAACAAAAGCTATTTCGGTTTAAAAAAAATATGCGCTTTATCTGCACAAGAATTGTGCACAATTTATACCTACTTGTTTTACTCTTGTTTGTGTTATTAATACTTTTACTACGTTTACTAGTAATTCATATATTGTCTAAAGTCTACACACAATAAGCTCCTTATTCAATCGAAACGAAAGAATAAGAATGACATTTTACAAGTTATCCTTAGGTGAGGGTACGGATATAGAAAGATATTAAACAAAGTTTTTTTACTGTTTTACATCCTTTATGCCTAATGTACATTTGCAAAAGTTTAAATCATAGTAACCGTTTTTTTTTGAAAAATTGTGTTTAGTCTTTTAACTTTGACATTTTTTCTCAATTTCTTTATAATAAAACCTGGCACAATTTTTGGTCTTCAGGTCTTTAAAATACATTCATAAAATTTTGTTGCTATTTGAAAAAAAAACTTCGAAGCCGTTGCGGCGCTCCAAATTTTGTTTTCAAAAATCCGGCCCGTTATCTTTTGTTTTCGTATGCCTAATATACATCCAAAATTTGAACAAAATCCGTCGAGCCGTTACTTCGCACGCACGCACACACATACAGACGGAAATAGTTATTTGTACAACTAAAGAAAAAAGTGGAGTTTTTCAATTCGAGTTAAAAGTTTGACACATAAACGTAGCGAGTGTGTCAATTGAACGGGAGTTGGAAAACATTTTCTTCTCAAATTTTACACATATTTTTTTCTGAAACTACAGTCGTATGCAATATTGAAGTTTGATACACAGCAATCGAGATACGGGTATGTTTTAAAGTGTCATTATTAAGATTAATGCAGCAATTGTTTTTTACTTTCCTCACTAGAGAGGAAAATCACATTTTTTTCACCCTTTTTAGAGACGAATGTAGTTGTTTCTAAAGTAGTTTCAGAAAAAAAAACTTTATAAGTTAAGCAGGCACTTTTCAAGCAAAGTATAATTCTTTTGCTCACTTAAAGTAAACTAAATCAAGAATACTACAAAACTCAGAATTTGGAGCGCCATTTCAGCCGCCATCTTAGTTTTTATTGATTTCAAAATTTTTCATAAAATAGTAATAAGTGGAAAAACGTATGTGTTACATAAAAATCATGATGACATTGTTGTTATAAATGTTAATATAAGCTTTAGTCGCCATTTTGACCGCCATCTTGATTTGAGACCTTACCAGCCGGAATTCGACAGGCAAAACTGGATTCAGCGGTGTTCAATTACCATAAAAACACATTAAAATTCTTTGTCTCACGATTTGCATTTAGTAGCTTTACAATGCGCTTTACTGAATTTATCGCCCGGACTATTGCAATTGTACCTTTGTTATATCGCTAGTGAGTTTTACCAAAGAGTGTACATGAAATTTAACAATCTTTGAGACGTGTTTCATTATTTTTTTTATATTTTTAGACACTAAATACCTAAAGTGAAAAAGTTACCAAACATCCCATTTCAAAGGGACAGTCCCGTTTTGTCCTTGGACTTTCTCCGCAATCTTTAATTTGTTGGAAACTGAGTCTTCCGCATATCTTTCTGCCACTGCATAAGATTTCCAGCCACCGTGACTTTTGAGGGTCATAAAACCACCATCCTAAGGACTCGGCGATGATTCTGTGAATCTTTTCTTTCTTTCTTTCTTTCAGTTATCAAATTGCCAATCTTTATAATAGTCTTCCGAGTTCGCTTACATCGCTTCACATGAAACCGTTTAAAAGAATATTCAAGCAAACATTAAACTGTCGTTCTAGGAGATAATGCCAAGTTTCGTTTGGTTCCAGTTTTATTTTATTTACTCTTAATAGCATTTTTCTTTATTCCCACTGTGTGTTTCTGTATTGTTCTTCATACTTTTTCTTTCATCCTCTCGCCAGGGCATATTATACGTAATTTACATTGTCTAAGTAAACCTTGCAACTTGTCATCTTTTTCTTTTCTTTTTGGTTAGTTATGTTTTCGTGGTTAGGTGGAAGATCAGCAAGATGAGCTGTCTCCCAATGCTGAACCTGGCCACTAGGTTTCTTTACCTTAATTGAAATTTTTGTTTTACATTTTGTTTTACATTTACTTTATATATTTATGCAAGGTAATGAAATAAAGGCATTTATTATTATTATTATTATGTCTAAAGTTTTAAAACGTCTATAACAGTTCAATACAAGGCATCACCAAATGAAATTTTAAAAACCATTTCACAAATTGATTATACAGGGTGTGTTATGTAATTCTGAGACAACACTGAATAGAAACATGTTTTTGAAGAAAAAAAAACGTTTGCTTTTACTCCAGATTTACCCCTATTTGAACTTTGATTTTTCTTTGGAATGTGCAGATTCTTCCCCTTCTTCAGTGGAAATGTTGTAGTTTCAGTCCGAAAAGTACTTACTTTTTGGACAGTTACCATGGTGATACTGACGACTCCCCAAATCGCCCATTTTTTGGACCAAAAAGTATAACAAAATAGCGTCTTATTCAGGTGGTTGGAGAAAAAAGGTTTTTTATAAGATTCAAAATTTCATAAGACTACTTTCTCTAAGTGTAATACCAGGTATATTCCAGTTTCCAGAAATTTAACCCCATGTTTAAATCTTACATTTCATTTCATTGTCCACTCCTTTCAAAAATTGAGTCTGAAGAGTGATTTGCAAGCTTATTTTATTTATCGATCTTTTTCCCACTCAAATCAATATCAAAAGTGCTTCAAATTGATTATGGTGGCGGAAGATGTAAATTTTCCATGAAATTATGCATTATTATCCAATTTAACCCAATGAAACAAGCGACTCTAAATTAATGTTCGAGCATTCTTTTCTAAAACCTTGAGAGCTCGTTTAGGTCACCAATTTGCTTTCCATTTCGGACACTGACCACATTTCCTGCATGAATGGTTGCATGTTAGTTTAAAGATTCTTATTTATTCATTTTCTTAGGGTTTTTATTATTTATTACATTTATAACTAGCGCCTTCTCTTGGACCATCCCTCGTGAGATATCTACATTTATACATAGTAATTCACCAAAAGAATACTTTCACCTTTTGTGACTGAATCTCCTTTCATTATATTCCAGAAGATTTGTGACTGTTCTTGTTAAATAGATCTCGGCCAAAATGTATGTGGTTACAGAAAATTGATCGTATTCTGATTTTGAGATCCACCAGACGTTCGTCTACAGAAATTAGGACATTCCAAGATTTGCATTTGTTGAAACTATGCAATCACAGGAAATGTAAAATGTTATCTACGAATATTTTTGTCACAAAATGTCATTAACGGCAATGTTATGTCGGCGATCTATGTACACAAACTCACACTGATTATGTATTTGTTTTAGAGACCACAAAATTACGAGTTTGAATACGGAATCTCCAATCCACACACCGGTGATCACAAATCCCAATGGGAGAAGAAAGAAAATGGCGTTGTTTTTGGAGTGTACAGTCTTTTAGATCCGGATGGTTTCATGCGAATAGTCGAATATACGGCCGACAGTGTGAATGGCTTTAGGGCTATTGTCAAAAGACTTCCTATAGGAGGTCACCATGAGAATGTCGTTCCTTTACCTCAGGCGTACGGTTTTAACGCTAAACAGTCTGGAAACAACTACGCTCCTTACAGCCAGTATTCAACTTCCAATCTTCAACCTGCGCCGCATACCGAGAAGGAGAGTGAGGAAGATGACGGCTCGAGTAATACCGAGAAGGAAAATGTCGAAACGCACGAAAATGATGAAGTTGAGGAGAACGAAGAACAGGACCACGATAACTACGAGGCGGGCGACCAAGAAGAAGAAAAATACTCTAATTCTCTACCTTACCATGCTGTGGATGACGAAGAAGATCATGATTAGATTTATTAATGCCAAACTGTGATTATGCTAAACATTATGAACTCAATAATTAAAAAATGATATAGAGAACTGTATATTTTATTCTATTACGTAACCCCCGTTTCAACTGAAGTAAAACCTTACTTTCCCAATAAGTCACCAAAAGATTGTCCCAGTAAGCCAGTTTCAATCTTATTTGTAACCAAGCCGCTCACCTACCAAATTAATATTAAAGGGTTAAAATTCAACGCAAACCCCTTACGGATTTATATTTTATTTAATCAAAAATCGCGAGAATGAATTGTCGGAGGAGGGAACTGGCAAAGAGAAAAAAGAACCTCTGGACGAAACACATTATTAGTAACGTCAAAATGAATACCTGGAGAAAGGAGTGTTGAAGAAAGGGAAAATAATAGAACGACTGAATCCAACATATCTATTGGCTACTTCACTGTATGTGCGAATGAAAGAGTGTCGGTGGAGGGAGTATTTTGTGAAACAAACTTTGATTACAATAACTGAAACTTAAATAATTGAAGAAAAAATTTGAGTATACCTATCGCGTTGCAAATTTTTGTACAGGGCGATTAGGTATATGTTTAAAAAATCCAACACGGATTTCGTTAAAAAGCATTTGATTTAACGTGAAAGCCATTACTTTGGAAGACAAGCGCTGTGTGCAAGGGAAGTGTAATAAATTCCTTATAACGCGTCAAAAGTGAGATTTTTTCGCAAAACGGCACCGTCGTATCAGATACACATTAACTTATCGTGAAGAAGGACGAATGTGATGGGTTTGGTAGATGGTGATCAAACGGCAGATTCCCCTGTCAGCCTCCCCGTACCCTAATAGCCGGCTACGACACAATACACCAAATTATTACCAACCCTCTCTATTAGGTAGCGATAGGAAACAGTTTACAACACACTTAAATAAATATTAACAATAGAGCCGGACAAAATATGCGATTTCGAAATCGATAATGACATCCTGACGAAACTGTTAGGTACCTTCGGACTATTACAGTGACGATTTTGAGTTTGTTTTTTGTGTTAATGAACCGGCTGACAATATAATAAAAATACGCGCCGATCAAAGAAATAAAAAGAAGCTGATAGAATTAGTACGACAACGGTTGTTTTCTACCAATCATATAAATTAGATGCGAAAATTTCAACGAGTCATCCCTAACCCGCTTAAATGCTAGAATTATATTTATTTACGGTTGTTAATTTTTTTCCATCGTGACGATGGGAATTTCATTCCGAACTGTTTACATGTGTAATTTGAAACAGTAACAAGATGCAGAAGCAAAGTGATTTCTGAAACTGTTTGACGTTAAAAAGCTCGATGGGATCGTCAGATTACATCGATATCTCAGCGGAGGTCCAGAGATCCTTTCATCACCTTCGTCGTCTAACTTCTTGTGACACTTTAACCAGATATTATTGTACGTTATTTACATATTTTAAAAATGTCAGTTTCCCAGAACGGATGGGGCACTATTTTCTGGCATTCGTCACCGACCTTTTAACGACCGTTTGCAATTGAAGCCCATTAAATTAGTAACGTGGTCAACTAGATCCATCCGAGTGAGGTTTATGGGGTGTAAACAAATTAACCGCTAAATATAATTTGAAACTTTATCTCAAATTAAACTTGTTCGTTACGCTGACAATTTTACAGAAGATTGACCATGTTAAATTTTTATTAATCTTGGATATTTAAGTAACAGGTTCTCACCAATCTCAAGATTCCGAACTTATTATAAATTACGTCTATGCTTTCTATGTTACACCTTAGGTCCACATTCCTAAATGCGAATCAGTTACGTCCATAAAGGTCTTCTGAAAGTTCGCAGTGACCACACGGATTTGGTTACCGCAAATGTCGGAGCCCACATGTAATTAGGTATGCTCACCTTTTAATCAGATGTTTATGTCCGTATGACAACTTCTTTGGAATTAAGTATACGAGAATGTGTTTGCACAATAGGTATTATGGGTCGCAGGTGCAAAAAGTTATACAATTGTTCCAGTAGAACGATTAAGTAGTAGAGTAGCAATTATGATATTATAATTATAATTGCACAATATCTGTTATGCAAACTTAAATCTTACTTTTGACCAAGATTTTTGTAGCAAATTTAATCTTAGACCAAAATTATTTTAAAGCGATTTTTATATTTTTACACGTGTAGTTAAGGAAGGGTGTTCCGTGTTTCATTATGAATAGTGCGTTCATGTTTATTATCTGGTTTTGGGGAGTCCCAGTTTGTCTTCTGATCTAGTATACAGTGTGTCCCAGATCGCGTGGGATTGCATGGGTAACTTTGTTATTATTACACATAGAGAATTGGTTAAATGAGCAATGTTTTGCAGTTTTGGATGCTTATTTAAAATTTCCTTATGGAAATTCAAAATGTCACATAGGTTCGGCGTAAATTCAAAAAAACTAAAATTGGTCATTTCCTTGAATGTCTTATATCATCGAAAGTATAAGAGATACAAAAAAAAGTTTCATATAGTAGTGACTGTCTTTGATACGCTTAATTTAGAATTGATGTCAAAAAAAAATTCAAGATGGCCACTTTTGAGGAACATTTACCAACTTCCTAAAGTTAAATGGGCGCCATATTGGATTTTTAGATTACTTGATAGATTTTTTAATTCTCTTTTTAACGAGCTATCATGGCATAAGATTGAAAATAAGATACCAGTTATATTAACGGTTTTTGTATTTTAATCAAGTAGTCTGTGACGAATAAAAAAAAACAAAACAAAATCTATTCGAGGCAACAAATGATGATGATTACACCAGATGTTTAAAATACTGGCCATTATTAGTGAAACACATTTCAAGACAGTTTAGTTTAGGCAACGTGTTGCCATTGCTTATTATTATTATTGTAGTGGTAGCTACTTCCACTTTACTTTTATTTTTTAATTAAGTACTTACTTTTATAATTTAGTGTACTGTACATAATTCGTGAATGGGCCACTTTCACATTTTTTATTTATGTGATAAATCAATGCGGAACATAAAGAAATACCAGTATGCAAAATTTCACAATCCTAAACACACAAACTTTTAAATTATCTAAAGATAAGTTTTTCGCGCGCTTGGAAATCATTTTAAACGCTAGATTTTGCCGGGGCATGGTTGTGACGTCACAACTGTGTAAAGTTCAGTGGCGGTATACTTGCATGTATACTTCAATGCGACGACGTAGCGTATGCGTTTGTTGTTGCTTACGTTTTCTCCTGTGTACCGTGAAATATATCGATGTCTCTCTCACGGCACGTCTTAAGACAGCCCTTCACGTACGCACTTCGCTTCGAGCTTTGCATGACAGCAATGCTCGCGAGCATTGCACGAGTACAATTTTTACCCTTCACGTGCAGTCCTTGTTCGTAGTACGCCAAGTGTAGTTACGTTAAAAATCGCAGATTAATGAGGGTAATAAGTAAGAAACAAGCAGCAGCAATAGGTAGTTCTTTTAGAACATAATGAAAAAAGTAAAATAAGAAGAAAAAAGATATCGAGTAAAGGAGTGGTAGGTATAAAAAAACGAGGTGCTGCCAATCATATTTATCTATTAATAGAAATCAATGTAAATCACTCTGAAGATTACCAAATTTACTTCCGGATGCATATGCTGACATTAAATATATATTTAATTGTTGAAATTAAATTCGTTAAAATGCCTACAATACATTTTTCTGAAAGTGGCATTGAAAGTTTTACTGTCTCATTCCATCCAATATAATGAATATATTGTCTTATTTCGAACCTTGTATTCATGCTCGTAATCAAACTACACATTGCAACTTTAAGCGTGCACAGCTTCGTGCCGCGCCAAGTTTTCCGACAGATTCGAAAACGTCAACACGACCCAAGTTGCAACAAAGTGCTGCTCGTCTGGTCTCTTCACGTTTGAGCTTTGCATGAATTCATGTTGGGCAATGTTCGTACAGGCAAAGCTCGAAGCGAAGTGCAAGTGCGTACGTGAAGGGCTGCCTTAAGAGATTAAATGTGGAAAATTTTTAGTCCACCTAAAAATACACTATTCGTACTCATTTTTTTTAACTTTCTCTATCATGTCCCCAACCACACACACACACACACACACATACACCCTTTATGGTTTTTTGCGCACAAGACACAAAACAAACCTGGCCGGGCGGACCTCTACAAACCTGGATCTACGAACACAAGAATGTAAACAAATATGGCGACCACAGTTGTGACGTCGCACCAATGGCAGGGCGTTTGCAGCTGACGTCATATTTAAAGGGATTCCCAGTAATTGTTTTTACTATTTGTTTAAAAACAAATGATCTTTTTCAAAAATTAGTATTCGCCTCATGTATGGCGTATATAGTACTTGCCATCTGTGCAAATTTTTTGCTAATAACGAAACCTTGCAAGTAGCCCATTGTGACCTGAGCAGCCAGCTTGTTGGTATGGTAGCATAAACCAACCCTTTCTTCGATACATACGTTGTCGAGAAAAATCCTTTAAGGAAGTTTATTGGAGAATTTGTAAATAATGGTGAGCAGTTAAAGTTCCATCGCAGATTACCAGTCCAATTACATGACTTCCTATTATGCCATAAAATACAGCAATTTAAAAAAATATATTACTTGATTTCGGCGTGAAACTACAACATGTAGGTTTTCCTGTGACGAGTAGTGCTCATTATGTCGATTTGAACACTCCGTAGTTAGAGAAATAAGGTCGATTCTCACTTTCGTGCAAGGCACGTACTCGGCACAGGCAAGGCATCGACTCGGCAAAATATCTATATTATTGAATCTTATGAATTTTTGGGGTGTAATTCACACTATGCGAGCAACGACTCGGCAAGCTACGGCCTTTGCACGCGGTGTTCTTCTGAAACAATATTTGCCGGGCATGTACCGTGCACGTTCCGACAAGTGTGAATACAATCTGTGCAGGTCACCGACTTTAGTTCAGTTTTCATAGTACAAGAAAGGTTGAAGGGTCAGCAAAGGAACACTTTTTCAGCGGAACAAGATGAGATGCTGATTGAATGTGTCCGTGAGAATGATTT